CGTTTTTGTGATTTTAAATATGTATTGCAGGAGGCGTAGAAGGTAAGGGAAAGGGAAAGGTGTAATGCTTTTCTTATATGCATTATGGATGAGGAATTGCTTTTGATGCATAGTTTTGTTGATTAGTACAAGATATGTATTTTGAATTTTTGGACCTTGTATTTGGTCATGGTAAATTCTTGTACTAAGGGACCCGAATAGTATATGAATATGTATTTCTTTGGTATGAAATATGTGTTACATGCAATGTGTGGGTTGGGGCGTGACACATACTACATGCAGAACTTCTGCCTTGTCTATACAGAGCTCTTCAGTCTGATGAGTTTTACTTCAGAATAATTTTAAGAGTACAAGTCTTGTAATAAACTTATCTACACTTGGAAGATAAGTCTTTAAGACTTGGAAGATAATTCTTTAGATCTCCTTTGGTTGGTCTAGTTGTGCATATCCTTGCTTCTGGATGTTTATTTAAACCTTGAAAAAATATTCCAATCCATCATAAAGGAACGAGAGGGGATTTGGTTGATCTTCATTTTTAACAAGAGGGTCTCTGGTTGTAAGTATTTAACATTTTTTTGACCTAGAGGCTCTGGACAGACGAACCAGAGGATGTGGTTGAGTAGAGGGCCTTGCTTTTGGTTGGTGAGTCTACAGGGGCTCTGGTCCTTAAGAACCATATGAGCTCTAGTTGGTCTTGCTCTGTATGATGCAAACTTTGCCATGTCTTCTTCAAAGATGACCATGTAGAACCTTCCTAGGTTCTATCTCGTGTATTATACGGGGTATCTTAAATGAGAAAAACTCTGGTTATTAACTCTGACAGAAGAATTTAAACATTAACTCTGAAACACAAATCTGGAAAAAACTCTAAAAAGCAGTTGGCTAACTTCAGTAGCACTTACACGTGTACATTACAGTTTCCAAAACTGCCTCTTCGATGTAAACATTTTGTTTCTTATAAAATTATTGTCCTCACAGACATCTTCCGTTTCCTACTACAATAAGAAGCTAATGTTTAAGACAACTAAGTGATTCCATTTTCTTATGATTGTTGTTTCTAACGATTTCTTACCAGCTGACTTCATGCACTCGTTTCTTATTGAAGGATTAATTTTTTTACAGATCTATAAAAAAAAATGGATTCCATGGATGCTAAAGAAAAAAGAAAATTTAGAAAGACAGTTTTGAATAGTAGTAAATAATCATTCAATTCTACGTCATCAAACATTGAAGGTATTTGAGTCAACAAAGTTTTTAATTTGGTGTTCAATGAGGGAAATATTATCTGTTCAAATAATAACTTCAAGGTAGTTTCTTTCACTATCATTCCTCTTTCTTTTTACAAATAATATCCCAATTTCAGATAGGCGATTAAGATCTTCGTTTAAGAGCAAATTTTTTTCGTATCATAATGAAAATATGGACCCAAACACATATCGTCAGTATGAACATACAAGCATTCAACATTCTTCTTCAAATGTAACTATCTGAAGTCCATTATCTGATAGTTCCAATGATATGTATAATCTCTTAAATATCTCATTCTTAAACTAATGATTCCAATACAATTTTTATTATAACACATGTTTCAAATTACATAAATTTTTATATTTCAAACATGCAGTCTTCTTGTTAATAGATACTATTCCTTGCCTTCTAATGCCATGCCATCAATCACTTCATCGACAATAGAGCAAACTTCTTCCATGGTGAAGTTATCGGTAAGACAACATAGATTACGAAAGAAGACTATAAATGTATCTGATATACCCATAATTGATCTTACTTTTGATGAAGAATTGGATGATCCAGAAGAAGCTACAAACAGAATTGCAAAAATATCTGAAGGTAACCTTTGATTAATCAATTATTTAACAGTTAAAAGTAGTTACTGTTATCAAATTTATTATAATATTTTAGAAACATATTATTAAACAGAGTACTTGGATCACGGTGATAAAACGATTATTTGTGAATGCTGTCATGCAAACTTATGGAGAGATGAAGGTCTTAGAGGGAAAAATGTGGGATGAAAACAAGTTATTCCATTTGTTGTCTTTACGGCAAAGTTCAGCTTCCCAAAGAGAAAGCAATGGCTACAGCTTACGTAAATCTTATCCGTTGTCAAGACTCAAAAAGCAAATACTTCATGTTCGTCGTGTTCATATTGTGTTCATATGTACACTAGCTGCATATCTCAACATTGACTTGCTACTGAATGTGTTCATAATGAAGGAACTATTGTTCATAAGCTGTTCATATTGTGTTCATACCTTTTTTTTATTAGTTTTCTTTCGTGTAGCAGTTATTCTTATTATTTTCATATTGTGTTCATAAATGTTATGAAGTCCAAGTTCATATATATGTCAACTTTTGTTCGTATTTAACACAATGATTCATATATATATATATATATGTGTGTGTGTGTGTGTGTGTTCATATGGTTCTTACATTAACAAAAATAATGAGATTTTTTGATTTTGTAACTTCCAATTAATGATATGGGAGTTACATAAAAAAGAAAATTACCAAAATACCTTTTTCCCCTTTGTTCACATATGTTATTTAAAATAGTAAATTTAAAAAATTAATTTTTTATCATGATTAATCACAACCGTTTATTGTAAGAATCAATGGCCAAGATTGGTTATCAAAATTAACACAATAATCTTGGTTAACATTTGAACAAACCCCTATATAGATATATGTATATGTATATATATGTATACGTATATATAGGGGCTCATTCAAGGGAGAATTGACTAGTTTGTAGTAACCGTGAGATCCAATCTCAACCACAAATTAATATATAAATTAGAAAATTTATAATTTTGGTAATTTTGAATTAAAATTTTAATGCAAAAACATTTTAGGTATTTTTTTCTCCTCTCTCCTCTCTTCTCTCTCCGGCCACCGTCCTCCGGCCACCGTCCTCCGATGATCACTGTGATACCTAAAAATATTGAATCTGTTAAACAAAAGACAGAGTGTGATACCCAAGCACATATAAGATGCATTGTGATACCACTGTGGTATCAACAGAGGACGGTGGTCGAAGGATGGAGGCCGGAGGACATAGAGAGAAGAGAAGAGAAAATACCTAAAATGTACTTACATTAAAATTTTAATTCAAAATTACTAAAATTATTAATTTTCCAAATTTATCTATTGATTTATGGTTAAGATTGAACCTCAGGATTAGCACAAACTAATTAGTTCTTATTTGATTAGGTCGCTGTATATATATATATATATATATATATATATATATATANATATATATATATATATGTATATATAGAGAGGTTAGATTGCAAACCGCCTATTTCAAGCAAACTATAGAAACCACTATCAATAGAATAATTTCATGTTTTTCTCTTTATTTTTAATAAATAAGGATATGAATGTCATTTTACTTTGTAATGGTTAATCTTGGTAATGTTTTAATTGTTTTTAAATATGGAAAATTAAATATAGTAGTTGTTTTTAAGGAAACTATAAATCAATTTATGTTAATATATAATTATTATATTAATATTTTATATTCTTTTATTAATTTAAAAATACTACATCAATTACAAAGTCTATTCGTAATAATTTATTTCGTAAAACAAATGTCATTAATGAAACCATGTTATATAGTTCTCAAAATGTTTAAAAAATGAAACTAATTTCATTTTAGTTAGGAATCATGAAACTACTTTCATTAATAAAATAATAGTATTCAGGTCTTAAAATGTTTCATTGACTGAACCATATTTGGTTTCACTAATAAAACCAATTTCATCTTGGCTATAAACCATGAAACCGATTCCATTTTGGTTAGAAACATGAAACAAATTTAAAAATGAATGAAATATTATTATTCAGTTCTTGAAGCGTTTCATTGACTGAATAATATTTACTTTCATATGTAAAACCAAGTTAATCTTGGTTAGAAACCATGAAACCGGTCCCATTTTGGTTAGGAAACATTTCAACAATTTTCACTGCTAAAACAATGTCATTCAGTTTTTGGAATTGTAGGATCATTGAAACCAATTTCAATGATGAAACGAATTTCATTGACGAAAACATGTTATTCAGATTTTTTGAAAATGTTCCATTGACTAAAGTATATCTGGCTCAAATTTTATTATACAGACGAACAATGAAACTAATTTCACTGTTGATGTATTCTCATCATGGATCAGACTGTTATGAAACAAGTTTTCGATTGGTATGAAACAAGTTTCAGATTACGTTAATCTGTTTCATTAACCAGTTCAGTCCCAAATAATATATTTTGTCAAGTTGTCTGTAAAAAAAATGTTTTTTTTGGGAACATGATATGTCAAATATATCAATGGAAGGAAAGTCAATGAAACAATGATTTGCATTCCCAATATGGCTGAAGATTAAAATGGTTTGCCAATTTTGTCCATTCTTGATTAAATATTAAACCTTTAATTTAATTTATTTTTATTTTCTTAATACAACACATTTTAATTATGATCATTGATCAAGAAAATGGATGAATAAGATTAGTTTATAGGATTACATAAAAAAGATGATTTACATTTGATCGTTCCTCTATCTGTCTATCTATCGCTTTTCTCTCTATATATTGTAATAAAAAGTAGATTTGTTTGCAAGAAACTCACAATAAAAATGTGACACCAAGGGAGGATCAACTTTGATGGACAAAATTGCCCTTTAAACTTTCATTCATTCAAGATAACCCACTTTAGCTATTTAACAAAGTCCAAGGGCATTTTAGTAAAGTGAAGTATCATTCCTCATGATAAAAAGTTTAAAACTTCCCGCCAGAGCAGCAACACCCCTCCGGCGGTCACTCACTACTCAATCTGGCTTCCACACACAAACACGTGGACCTGAGTTGTTCTTCGATCAACAAAAATCTTCCTAAAAGGAACATAATTAATCACATAGCAAAATTGGATTGTTCCAGAAGCACTCGAAATTTTGAATTTTTTAGGGTTTATAAGTTGTAAAAAACGATGCCTGCCTTCACCAAACCTGCAAGAATGTCTCCTCTCACCCTAACTCGTTGCCCTAAGAACAAACAACCAGTAGCCTCTGAATACAGCGATTTCAGCGACTCAAATTCTTCTAAAACAGAAACCCTCTTACCTTCACATGATGAAGGTGGTGGGAATGATGATATAACTTCGCGGCTGCATGTTTGTATGTCGGAACAGGTGGAATCCACAAGATATCATCGGAGTGATTTGGAGTCGATGAAGGTGGATTTGGGGGTTTCCGAAACAAAATTGTTTCTCCCTTTCCAAATAGGGTCAAGAAAAATGGTATAATTTCGATTATTTTTGTGTGTTTAATACTGAATTTAGTAGTAAATTTGTTAACAACAGATGGAAGATTTGATATTTAGGGTTGTAGGAATCATTTACTGGGTTCACTTATAAAATCCAGGAATAAAATCCTATAGTTGATTGAATTGTATTCGATTAATCTGAAAACCATAATCTTAACTTAATTTATCAGTAACTAGATCAAAAAGATCTAGCTAGTCGTACAGTTAGAAGAACCAGCTGATGGGTTTTCTTGTGCTTCGCCCCCACCCGAGTGCATATTTGTCTTGCTTTTAGTGTTTTTTGACCCCTCTCTATCAAAAAAGGAATGAAGATCTTATCCATGGATAAATTAGATCAGAAATTCTATCAATACTAGCTTTCATATAAAAAACGATTAGACTGCACAAAGTTCATCTCTATGGGGCTATTCAGTAATCATGTAATTGCTTTAATGTCATAGCATTATCACATTCTTTTGTTTGGTTTCAATGAGGCTGCAAACCTTCTAACATTTTTGATATTTGAGATCATATCTTCAAGTTTGGTATGTGAGAACATGTTGATGCTTCCAACCATCAAAAAATGGCATTTTCCTTGGTGTTTTGTTGTAGTTGAATTACTAAAATCAGCGGAAAACTAAACTTGGATTAAGATATATAAATATATTGTTGTTGTGTATTGAGTTCTTTTAGCATATTCAAAGTTTGAATAACATTTGATTACTGTAATACATTTCAGGCTGAGTGTCGTGTATGCGAGAATGTAATCTACCCTTGGGAGAAGGTGTCGTGCTCTATTCATGATTGTCGAGTTTCTTATCACTTGAAATGTGCAAAGGAACGTGTTGGTTTATTATCATCATCGAACGAATTCAAGTGTCCTCAACATGTATAGTTTCTCTCCTTTTTTTTTTGAATTTGTTTCCACTTTGCTTCATTTAGATTACAAGCATATCTGCTTGCTTTAAAATCTTGATAAGTTGTTCATCGAGTATGCTCACTTTGTTCATTAGTAAGCTGATTTTGGTTCTTTGAGTCTCTTCATGCATTTAAATTAAGGAATGACTATTCAAATCGTTTGATACATCCGTTTAGATTGTTTACCCTAGCGATTTATGATGAACAACACCTGTGAATTTGATTGAAGCTCACTAATGACCAATATTTGCTTGTAATTTTTTGTCTGATTCAGAAAAGGAAAAGTAACTACCGTACGATTATGTTAACACCATTTTTGGGCAATTTAACATAACATATCACCACCATAAAGTTATCTATACTCTACTGTTTTTTATTGATTGTGTTCAACATTAGAATTCACTTCGCTACCTTCCATTTTCGTTTACAGTTCTTTTACGCCACTAGTTAAGAACCACGTTCGTTACAAGTGAGAGTATAATAATGAAACGTGTTGTACAAGTACTAGATGGTACAAACGAAAAACACACTTCATCTGATATAAGAAGATGGATTTGGCTGTTAAGCAGATTTCTTGCATCAAGGCCAATGAAAGAAGATTAAGGAAGTAGGCATAAATAAGTTAGATGTTTCTTGATTTCGTATGGAGTATGCATGGTGTATTGATTTAATTAATACCAGAAGTGTTCTAATGTGATCAACAACATTCCTTTTAATAGGCATGCTTTCTGTGCAAAAAGAAATCACACTTATGGCGGTGTTCAAAATGCGATTTAGCATCGCACGAGAAATGTGCAGCATATCCTGAGTATATACTCCACTCTGATGAGAAACCAGCGGAAATAATTTGTTGGAGGCATTCTACTGATTGGCCACCATTGAAGGTCCATCTCTTCCATCTTCAACGCGGTTATATTATTCGTATGAATAATCTAGATGCATATTTACAAAAAAAAATGATGCATTTTTTTGGATGGAGAAAGTATATGTTAATATAAACACAGAATGGTCATAAGAGACCTGGTTCTAAAATAATCTTTGTTAATGGTGTAATGCACTTACGAAATCAACATTATTCTTGAATCCATTTTTGGGTTTCTTAGTTTATGGTCTTTTTAATTGATTAAGCTGAATGGCAGTACTGATTTATCTTGTTGGATGTGCAGTCTGTAGTTCCTACCAGTAGCATAGAGGTGAGGTTTCTAACAATCTTGAAGCTCCTTGTTGTCAATTACTGTATATGAAGGGAATTTCAATTTCTACTAATTATCATCTGTTTCCATATTATCGATCAACTATGGAACTTCGATATTTATAATAGTATCTTCATTGTTCTCATCCCCTACCAAAAGATTACTGTACTTGCAATGATCAAAATTTGGTGCATTACTATGTTATGATCTTGTTAATAAGAAAGAAAAGATAAGAAAGTTTGCAACAAGAGGGGCCTCGTTAGTAAGTTGCTAATTAACATCTTTACTGATCAATCATAGGAAGTTTTTTGTCGTCTGCCGCTACCGTATGTTGAAGAGGAATTCAGGATTGATCCCATGTGGAAATGCACCTTGGAGAATAAAGAACCATCTTCATATACTCTTATTAAGCGCAGTATCCTTCACTTTCTTTTTTCTGTAAATTGATTCATTTCCCGATTAACACCACTATCATGTTGATGTACTTTAGCTGAAAATTTGGTTTTTTTCTCCAGTTTTTTACTTTCTACATTATTAAAGATTTGGACTTGACAAAAGGGTCTGCTCGTTATCATCATTTCATTTCGGACTATCATTTTTTGCCATTTCCTCAACTAAAATCAGATGTATACCTTATAAAGAAGAAGCATGATGATGTGGATGATGGCATAGGATGCATATGTTGTGATTCTGAGATATGCCGTGAGGATTGTTTGTGCTGGTACTTCTTATATCATGTTCTAAAAAATATTAATGGCATTCATCACTCAGCCTCTCCATTATATGACCTAGCTAATGTTCTACCTTACAGGCTTCAGTGTATAAGCTGCTCGAGTGCTTGCGGGTGTTCAGAAATTTGCGCGAACCGGCCATTCCGAAAAAACAAGAAGATCCAACTTGTTATGGTAAGTTTCAATAAGTTCAATCATGTATTTTGTTCTAAATTTTGTCACATTAGCCTTACTTGATGTTTATTATGGTTGACGTGTTTGTAGACTCATCGTTGTGGTTGGGGTTTAGAAGCCGATGAATTCATCAGAAAAGGTGATTTCATAATTGAGTATGTTGGAGAAGGTAATTATCTTTGAACTGTTTGAATCTATTTATTAAGCAATAGTAGGTTATTTGGCAAGTTTTAAGTTTGTATCTTTGTTACTTGTTGGCTAATTATTATAACTCTACCTTTTCCTTCAGTTATAAATGAAGCTTTGTGTGAGAAGCGGTTTTGGGACATGAAAGAAGGCGTTACGAACTTCTATATGTGTCAAGTCCAAAGAGACTTCATCATTGATGCAACTAAAAAGGGGAATGAATCGCGTTTTCTCAATCATAGCTGCGATCCTAATTGCAACTTAGAAAAATGGTTAGTATGATAAATTTCATTACTCAGTCCAGTGTTCAATCTTTGCAGGATTAAAAGAGATGGATAGTGTTGGAGCCACACATAAGCTAGGCACATACCATCAACCTTATATATCTATATCTATATCTAAGAACCTTCCTTCTCTCTGTAAGGGCTCTCATAGAGAGAAATTTAAAGGGTATCTACAGGATAATCACATGGTATCAGAGCCAGAGTGTACTGCCATCTACAAACTCTACACACATTTTTGCCTTCATTTTGGGGGGCACTGTCGTTGGAGTCCCACATTGGTTAGATACAGAACATCAAAACTGTATAAATGTAGCCCCCCCCTCTCTGTAAGGGCTCTTATAGAGAGAGATTCAAAGGGGTTTTACATATTCTCACATGGTATCAAATTTGTGGCCTACCACCACCTAGGGACTCGCTACACTCTTTTGCCTCCATTATTGGGGCACTATCTAGTTGTTAGAGTCCCACATTAACTAGACTTGAATCATCAAACCTATATATATATATATATATATATATATATATAGGAACCTCCTCTATCTCTAAGGGATCTTTCAGAGTGGGAGAGAGAGAGAGATTCAAAAAAGGTTTCACATATCCTCAGATATTGTATCAAATGACATTTATGTATGATTTTATGTAGGGAAGTTGATGGGGAGACTCGTCTTGGAGTCTTTGCTAAACGATCCATCAAACGTGGGGAACCATTGACATATCATTATCGGTACTAATAATCATCTACACAAGCGTTCTAATTATCCTTCCACTTTAACACAATTCTACTATAATAAATGAATAATGCTTTGGATTTTGGTATTGCAGATTTGTGCAATTTGGGCCTGAAATAGAGTGCCACTGTGGTAGTTCTAACTGTCAAGGCTATCTTGGTACAAAGAAGAAGACACCAAAGCCACTGTTGGTTGATTGGGGTGCAAAGCGTCGAAGAATAGCTTTTATCATGGATCGTTGACAATGGCTTCACCCCCAACACAATTTATAAGGTTATTCATGTTGTATACCAATTATTAATTACAACAATCAAATAAAACCAGGAACAAAAAAGGGTATAAGGTTACATTATGCAGATTTGCTTACATCCTACCAATAGAACTTAAGGAACTTTGCTTCATGTTGGATCTCTCTTTTGCTATATGTCATTATGCTTGATTCCAGTTTTTATGTTACATTATGTAGACTTTGTGTACATTTTACCTGTGATCCTACTTCTGCGATAGATTTAGATTTACTGGGTTTGTTTGATTTGCTGAGTTATATTACAAATCAGCCTTTTCAACAATTGAACTAGTGTTCAAGAAAGTTGCATTTAAGAGAAACATAAAATAACACAAAAGTTGTCGCCTTTCTTCATCGGGGTGCCCGGTGGTTCGGAAAGGTGATCATGCACCACAACGCCGAACCATTGAGTGCAATATTGAAAAAAAAAATAGTATTTTATCGCCTTACCTTTTACGTATCCTGTTACATCCTTAATTAAAGTTGCATCATATTAATGATCGTGGTTTGTTTAAATTCATTCCATTCTATATTGTCGAGATTAAATCTTGTAGTTTTGACTCTGTTCATTTGTATTGGTTATTGTAGGTGCATTTAGATAAATTTTTTTGTAATAAAACATAAAAGAATAAAATGATATGTTAACTCATATTTGTACTGCAACAATCATATCAAATATTTTAAATTCAATTGTTTCTTGAAGAAATTTTAAGTTCATTTTTTATGAAGTAAACGATGTGAATGGTCAATTTATTACAACTTCAAATGCTTATTTACATGCTTGGTACGATTTAGCAGGCCCTTAGATTGTGGGAGTTACGTACACCTAATTAACTCATAAATTATATTGTTTTGAAATTAACTAATTGTGTATCCGTGAAATATGACAAGATATAAAAGTTTGATCAAGATTTATTTATCAAAGGGCCTTTGTTCCAACAGTATCCGATAAACCCAACCTTTCAAGAGGTTAAAGGGTTCCAACCTCACCAAAGGTGAGACCGTATATAAATTCCATTTGCCACATATAAATATTACGTATTTTAAAAACCCTCTAGAAGTGGGTAACGTTTATAAAAGATATGAACACGAGAAGCAACCCAAAAAAGCAAGGAATAACAAACATATAAAAAGTAGGATATAACATACAAGGAGTTATATAGTCATCAACCAAAGGTACACAAAGATCAAGTGGAACCATGTGAGACACAAAAAAGTTATCTTCATATAAAAATTATGAGTGGAAAAGCTTATTTCATTTATTCATCAAAGACAAATTTATACACCAGCATTATAACAAGGCCTACCTAAAATAAAAGAAACAAAAAAAGTAGACTACAACAAACAGTGGCTAATAAACAGGAAGTGATAGCCACATAATATGCACAGTAAAATAGGGGATACGGTTGATTTACTCCCCCTCAAGTTGGAGCATGTAAGTCTTGAGTGCCCAACTTGGTAAGTAGAAAACGAAGTCGTTCCGTCCCTAAAGCTTTGATGAATAAGTCTGTTATCTGCAGTGTCCTACCGACACACACAGAGAAGTCGAATTTCTTGTGACTCAATTCTTTCTCGAACGAAGTAATAATCCATTTTTACGTGTTTGGTACGTTCGTAAAAAACAGGGTTATTGCCAATTTGTCTAGCAGCTTGATTATCACAAAAAAGGGGTGTGGGTCCAATTGGAGCTGCTTCTAAATCTCGTAACAACCATCTCATCCATAAGATCTTGCTGACAGTTGTCGCCATAGCTCGGTATTCTGCTTCGGATGAGGAGCGCGATACCGCCGATTGTTTTTTTTATTTTCCAGGTAATTGGAGCTCCTCCCAAAAGTAACAAGTATCCAGTTCGTGATCGCTGTGTGTAACTGCACCCAAGCCAATACCTTGACCGCCAGCTTTAGAAAAGAAAATACCTTGACTGAATGTGGATTTGAGATATCGATTTACATCATTGCATGGACTTTCGTTAACTTGGTCCAGTTTTAAATTTTGTTCCATGAGGCATAGAACTCGGTCTGCAGCCTTGCAACCCACTATCCTCCAATATGTCTAAAATATACTTTTGTTGACTCAATACAAGGCCATCCAGTGTGTGAGCTACTTCTATGCCTAGGAAATGCTTCAGTGCTCCTAGGACCTTGATACTAAACTTCTTATCAAGATGACTCTTCGTTCCTTGTATCTTTTCCACGTCCTTTCCAACTATGATCACATCATCCACATATAAGTGCAACTACATAAGTCTCCTTTCTTTTGTGGATGAAGAGCAAATGAGCCTTTGATTGCTTGAAGCCGAGATCTAGCAATGCCATCGTGAATTTTTTATACCAATTTTGTGAAGCTTGTCGTAGCCCATAGAGTGATTTTCTCAGTCTACAAACCCTCATTTCCCCTTCTTTTGAGAAGCCTTGTGGGATTTTTCATGTAAACTTCCTCATTCAAATCCCCATGTAGGAATGCATTATTCACGCCAAGTTGATGAATAATCCAATCTTTCTTGGTTGCCACAGCTAGCAAACTTTGCACGGTGACAAGTTTTGCCACGGGTGCAAAGGTCTCATGATAATCTACTCCCTCCATTTGTGTAAAGCCCTTTGCTACGAGACATGCCTTTTATCTCTCAACTTCCCCGTTTGGTTTGTACTTTATCTTATAGACCCACTTCGAATCAATGGCTCGCTTTCCATTGGGTAAATTCTCAAGGATCCATGCTCCATTTTCTTCAAGGGCTCGTATTTCCCTTTGCATAATCTCTCTCCATTTGGTATCTCATACCGCCTGATTAAAATGTTTTGGCATATCATTTGAGCTGATGGCCGATGAAAAGGCTTTATGTGAGTTAGAAAAATTTTCATAAGAGATAAAATGACCATAAGGGTGTACCGTCGAGGATCTTTGATCATGCATGGGTTGTGCAAGGTCAATCGAAGGGGGCAGATTCATGACGAAGTCGTCCAGTCTTTTCGGTTGTGCCCTATTTCTTCTTTCTCTTTGAATTCTGGCAGGTTGTTCACTATTCATATGTTTCAGTTCGATCACGTTTTCACTTTCTGTTTGCTGCAGTGGTCCTTCAGTTTCTATGATCTGGTCGGGTATGTACTAATCATTGGTTGGTTCGGGTATATTCGAATCATTGTTTAGTTCGGATTGTGTGGAGTTCATCTGCTCAAGACCGACTTCCTGCTTATCTTTGTCTTGCACACTTTCACCAATTTTTTGTGCGCTCTCATAATAAGGTTTGAGGTCTTCCATACTGTCATCACCACCATGAATTTCGAATTTGACGAAAGGGAATGTATGTTCCACAAATTTAACATTTCTTGAGACAATTATTTTATGGTCATCGACATGGTAAATTTGATACTCTTTTTGCCTTGTGGATAACCCAAAAAACACCTGGCCTCCCCCTCACTTCGAACTTATCCCCTTTTGTTTTGGTGTTTCTGGCATATACCAAACATCCCAAAACCCTCATATGATCATAATCGTGAAAAGTATTTCTAAGGGTGTTTTATGCTTGATAACTTTGAAAGGCAACTTGTTTATGATATATGTAGCTGTTAGAATGCATCATCCCCACAATTTAACGGGTAAGTTTGCCTCAAATCTCAAAGCTCGTGCCATCTCAAGGATGTGTCGATGTTTCCTCTCAACCACTTCGTTCTATTGTCGTGTGTGAGGACATGAGGATTCCAAGATGATCCTATCCTTTTCATAGAAGGCCATCATGGTGTTCGATGTAAACTTTCCCCGTTATTACTTCTTATCCTTTTATTGTTTTGCCAAATTGCGTTTTGACCATATTGTGAAAATCAGTTATACATCTACTTGCTTCAAATTTGTATTTGAGCAAGAAAACTCAGACGACTCTACTAAAGTCGTCTATGATGGTTAAGAAATAACTTGCCCCCGAAAGAAAGGGCGTACGATACTTTCCCCATACACCAGAATGCAATAAATCGGAACAAGCAAGCGTTTTAATTGACCCACTCGGAAAAGGTAGCATGGTATGTTTTGCTTTAACACAAGAATCACAAACCTTACTTCTTAACTTGCAAGAAATATTCTCTAAAAAATCAACATGATGTATTTTTGACTCAGAAGCATGCCCCAACCTTTTGTGCCAGATCATAACATCACTTGTCATTACCATCACCTTCTTTTCGTTTTCTACCAAGCCCATTCGATATAGACCATTATTGCATTCACCCACGCCAATTAGGTTCCTCGAGCGTAAGTCCTGCATGATGCAAAGATCAGGAAGAAAGGTTATTGCACATTGGAGTTCTTTTGTCAGTATGCTCACATATAACAAATTGCAATTAAATTTTGGGATATGCAAGACTCTTTCAATTTTTTATACCATCTTGTAACATGCAGTTTCCTTTCCCTTCAACGGGTCTGGCCTCCCCATTATGCATGGTGACTGGGGTTTCTTGATTGCACTTTGTTATATTTTTAAGCAATTCACGCTCGCAAGTTATGTGATTGGTTGCACCCAAATCAATGTTCCATGCTTTACTAAGAACATTCTTACCAGCCATGTTGACCATTGGAGGCATGTCATCCTTTGATGAGCTTTCACTCTCCAAAAAATGCTTGATCAGCTTTTGGCATTGTTTATTTGTCAATCATGGTATCGGGCTTGGTTCTGCATCTACGTAAGCTGCCTTGGACTTGTTCTTTTCTCATTTTCCTTTGCCTGTACACCATTATGGATAACCAACTTTTTTGGAGAAACCTTCTTTGTTGTGCCCATTTCTTCCACAGAGGTCACAATGTTCAAACTCTTCACCATTACTACGTCTCGTATCCTTTTAAGTGTTTTTACCATGCTGTCGGATGGGGTTGGTTGCACTATTTCAACTATTCGGAATGAAGTTTTGAAAGGCAGCAGCTTCCGTCATCGGTTTCTTTATAGCAAAGATTTCTCTTTGCTGCTCATCTTCAGCA